AAACAGAGAAGCCCATACCCCAAACAGAAAACCTTCCAGTAGTGACGAGCACTTTCTCTTCAAGAGGCAGATAAATCCAGGAGTTGGGCCGTGAATCTAGGGAGGTCTCAGCCACCCGACCCAACGCCACGGGGTGTCCACACGTGGCTCTCCACTCTCCCACAACCGCGGTCAGCAGAAATCAGATTTGGTCCCAGCTCCCCTGGGGCTCCTGCCCTAGACAGAGCTGCCTAGCCCACACCGTGTACGCAGAACTGAGCCAGGCATGTGTCCACTGAACAACAGCTGTCCTTTTTTTAAATGAAAAATAGTTGTAAGCAGATATTCAAGCAAAGCAAGAGAAGGCCTCCCTGCTAAGCCCCAGAGCAGGGAGACAGAACCCAGGATGGTGGGAAGGCAGCAGGCCGGAGGCCCAGGAGGGAAGACCAGCCCTTCCTCTCCTTCACTACTCAGAGACCTTCTACTTTGATCATGTTTTAAATTTAATTGCACATATTCCAGCAATAATCTTGGGACCCAGTGGCTTCTGTTAATAGAAGCTTTTTGAAATACTGTGGCACGGTTTGCTGCTACCTTCTTCAAAAACATGTGAAATAATGATATATGGAACTATGGCACTGATACCAGACATGGGGGATCAGAAGGCAAGATTCAAGGTCCTGTGCTTCCCGGAACCTAGACCATCAAATCTGAATCAACTGGGACCCAATTACTGGAAATTATTTTGGAAACAGAGAATATGTTGGAAAGAAGGGAACAAGAGCTAAAAGGCAGCAGGAATATACGGGACTTTCGCCCCAAACGAAAGGCAAAAACGCCTCCCAGATAGTCAGGCCAGACCCAGCTGCCGTGCTGCTCTCATCTGCTGCTCTTCCATGGCTCCTGAAAGGTGTGAGTGGAACCAACGAGCTTCACCCTTGGGAATCGGAACCATGAGACTCAGGACGGTTTCCAGTCAGCAGTAGGAGCGGAAGCCAAGTGGGCCCAGCAACAGGTGCCAATGTGGAGAGTGTGGGGAAACCGGGTGGGCCACAGGCAAGTGGTCACCAGGGAGCCCAGCAAAATAGAAAAGAGGGGGGAGGAGCACGCAAAAGGATTTCCCATTGTGTGGCCAGAGAGGGGAGGAGGAGGAAGGGGGAGGGGGAGGAGGGAGAGGAGGAGGAAGGAAGGAGGGAAGGAGGAGGAGGAGAAGGAGGAGGAGGTGGAAGGCAAGAGTAGTCTTGATTCACCAGCTTCCATCAACACCCACCTGTAATTCAGTGTTTGCCCCTGGATTTCTCTGAAATCCCTTTAAACTGAGAGTCTCTGTGACTTACAACTTATAGAAGCTCAACAATGTGCCCTAGGGCCGGGGACTTGTGGTTAGTCTTCTATACTGTCTTTATGGCCAAGGGCTGGCACACAGAATAAAGACCTTTGATAAAGTTATGTAGCAATTTGCTCTGAAGGAAATTGGTCCTGCGACCTCTTCATCACCTTCAGCAAGGCACTCATCCCTCAAGCCCCGCAGTTCCCATCACAGAATGGGACACCTTGTAGACTTGGTGCGGATATTTCAATAGCAGATCTAGAGCACCTGGCTCCTGGGCATGCACAACTTGGCAGTCGTCCTCATTTATCAAAATAAAACTTGGGCGCATACAAAGCATTTCCACTTTCTGTAAATAACTAGGATGCTCTACAGCCCCGGTGGGGGGAGGGAGGCAAATGTTTTCATCCCAGTTTTACACACGGCTCAGGGACGATCAATAGCTTCTCAGGACCAGCGGGCTGGTAAGTGGGAGAACGTGGACTTTGCCAGATAGCCTCAAATCTCACCAAGATCCTGAGTACAGAACCGAGAAAGCGGGAAAGATAGAGAGAGGGTCCTGCCTAACCCTCGCTTGGAGAAAAAAAATCACCCCATTAAAATTGCCTTTCCCAGCACATTACTGACAGCTCAAATTTTACACTTCTGTGATATACCACGAGGTCAACAAGAAAGCACACAGCTCCACAAGAGAATGGCAATAATGGTCCTCCCCAGGGTGGAGGGGGAGGAATTCATTACATTAGGCAGTCCTGGAAGAATGACTTGAGAGACCGGGAGTAAAGCGAGCACGTGGAGGGAAGGGGCGGGGGAGAGGGAGGAAATTATTTCTGGCACACTAATTACTACAGAAACTTACCTCCTAACCCCTGGGGTAATTCACACTTTATAGATCAGTATGTCAAATTACCTTTTCAGATCTTAACAAAATAATCCTGAAAGTTTCAGATTCAGACAGTGAAAAAGAAAACTTTATGTTCGATGATATAGCAGTTCTAAATAAAAGTTAGAGCTTTTATTCCAGTTAGTTGTTAAATGCGAGGTTTTAAACTTTCCCTTTCATATAAAATAAGAAAAGTTTCAGTGATGGTTCGTACTTACCTTCTAATGACTTTAACACCTAAAACTATTAAAACCACAGTGTCACCCTGGCGTCGAGAACCCGAGAGGGACAGAAACGACTTCGTGGGAGTCCTGTTTGGCTCCTCACTGCACCTGCTAAGTGCTGGTCCCTGCCCACCCTTGGTGACCACCTTGACCATGATGTCCAGGCTCATCTAGAGCTAAATATCTAAGCTGCATAACTTTCTCTCTGTCACTTTTTCAAATCAGATTGAAAGAGATTGAGTAAGAATACCAGATGACCGTGCCTCTTCCTGAGTCCAGTCAGTGTGGGTTAAGCCCTGTGTGTGTCGTGTGCCTCCAACACCTAGATGGGCAGAGGGCTTAGGGTCAAGAGCCTGGGCTTTGGCATTTACGGACTGTGTGTCCTCCGTGTTTTAATTTCCTCATCCTTAAAATGAGAGTAATGCCTCCTTTGTGGCATTTATGGTGTGGTTCCAAGGATCAAGTGAATCCTCATGGTGGAAGGCCTGCAAGATCACCACATTCTCACATGTGCTGACCGCTCTTACCATCTTTCTACTCTGCCACATCCCTTAACATACTCAGGCACCGTCTCTGGAAACACCTGCCACCCAGGAGAAAAGATGGAATGCCAATACGCATAAAGAGCAGGGAGGGGTGACCTGTGGCTGCGAGGGTGCCGCTGGTCAGCTGAGCTGAGCGAGCTCCATGCCATTCTTGGTTGGCCTGCACCTGCAGCCCTGCTGGCACAGAGCTGGTGTCCTCACAGGGCAGACAGCACAGCTCCACCTCCACCACTGGACCCAACGGTTGGCCCTGCATTCCCTGCTGTCCCTACCTTACAGCACACTGGACGAAGGTTTTAAGAGTCTCAAGGGGCTGGAGAAAGAACCACAGGCTTAATGGAAGAGCTGGCTTTGAGTCAATCTCTGCGAAGGGTCTCAAACTGCATTTTGAAGGTAGGTGGGAAAGGCTTGGGGGAGAAGTGAGCTGGGTGTTCCAGGTGGGAGGAATGGGATGTGGGTGGCCCCAGCACGACATTTGGGAAAAGGCCAGTAGGGCCACCAGGAACCCAGAGCAGGGACGAGGTGTGGTAGCAGGCACCGCGGGAATGACCAGGGAAATCGCCTGTTTTGCCAATTTTCAGAGAAATCGTCTCTGCAGATGGGTTGCTTTGTTGTCAGGTTACCTGCCTTTCAGGGTTATATTTAGACTATTTTTTTCCTCTTTTCTTAGAAAACCTCAAATGATTACAGCTTGCAAAGAATGTTTAAGTAGGTCACAAAAACCAAGGAACATTTTTTTTCTCCTCTCAATAGACCCCTAAAACTTCAGATTTCAGAGAACGAATGATAATTCTCTCATCTCCTGGGGTCCAATATGGCAAATTCCTCTGGCCTCGCTTTTGTCTCCGTCCACTCCTTTTAGGGCTCCCAGTTCACTGTGCAGTAAAAGGAAAGAGCATTTTCTTGAGAGAAAACCAATTCTCTGAGTGAAAGAAAGCTGGGCAAGGATTTCTAAAGACAAGACTTTTACAGACACCAGGGCACCTGAATTCACCTGAGAGGGCGGGGTGGGGGGGAGGGAGAGAGAGAGAGGCAGAGAGAAAGAGAGAGAGAGAGAGAGAGAGAGAGAGAGAGCGTAAGTGAGAGCGCTGAGGGGGTTACCATATAGAGAACAACAATGGCATTTAAAACTCCAAACTCCACCAAAGTCCTATGTGACAACCAATTGTGATGCTCAGTATCTGTTGCCATGCTCCAATAGTCAGATGTGACCCTCCGCTCAATCACAGAACTCTTTCATCCGTGCTGATCACAAGGAGAAAAATAATGGAAAATCTTCTAAGAAGGATTTTTTTTTTCTCTCCATCCTGGGCTTCAGGTAGAGTTGGGAACAAGATTCTGGTAGGGAGCAGGTCATTCTCAAGCCCCGAGCACACACCCTACCATATTGTGATACACGGCTTCCCAGATCAGGAATCTGATTCCTGATTCCTTTTCCCATCAAGGGAGATGTGGCCAGGGATTTCACTGAATTTCACTTTTACTGAAGACCTCACTTGAGAATTTGGGGATCTTGGATTGCAAAACTTTCCAGGACAATCAAGGGCTTCAAAGGACCAGAAATTCAGAGGAAGAGGGAGAATTTGGCGGATGTTCTACATATTAAACTTTTCTTCCCCTGCATGTCAGCCTTTAGCCTCTCCTGGGAGCCTGTGCCGAGGTTCTGTTGGCCACTCCAGCCAAAGCCACCAGACCCCTGACAACAAAGAGAACAAACAGGAGAGGGTTGACTCCTAGGCTCCACACTCAAGAAAAAAGGAGGGAGTAGGAGATATAGGGAAGGAGTTCATTTTTGAGGGAAAAAGGATGAGAGGTGGTTATAAATGTGAGACTGGAAGGAAGTTGTGAAATGAGTCTCAAATGAGCTTAAGATTCATACAATAAACTCTCTTTGGGAGATAGTAACAAGCAGCACATACAAGTTAGTATGTATACATATACCTGTAGGTTCAAGCCTAGGTTTGGGGGTACTCATGAATGGCAGCGGGGAAAAGAAACAGAATGACATAGTTAATATAATTAAAAAGGCAAAAGGAAAATTTCCAAGATGGTCCAGCAACAAAGGGAATATTTTACTCTGGGTTAAGTACTAGCCAAAAGAAAATTAAGTACTAGCCAAAAGAAAATATTAATATCATATGAATTAGATTTATAGACAAAACTCATTATTTCAGGTAAGGTAGCCACTATATGATGGTAAAGGTTAATTCATAAGGAAATTATAGTAATTCTCAACCTGTATGCAATGAATAACACAGTCTCAAAATAAATAAAACAATTAAACAGAACTTCAAGGAACATAAACACTCATCAATCGTAGTGAAATATCTTACACATTTTTTCTCAGTAAATAACAATGTTAATATAAGTAATGTCATAAAACTATCTCAAATGGTTTTTAACTATTGGATTCCAAATTCCTTAACATTGGTCTTTAATACTTTTACCCCACTGATCCTTCTCCTTGAAACACTTGAAAACTCCAACTTGAAGCATGAGTTCTGGTCAAACCAGTTCTCATTCCTATTTCTCTCCCCAGGCCCCATCCTCTCACTGAAATACTCTCTCCCTTCTGTAGATTTGTTTTCCCCCTTGGAATCGTGAGGGTGGCTGAGGCAGGACTGTCTGGCGTGGACCCCTGGATCACAAGGATGGAGGTGGGCAGAAAGGCAGCTGGCCGCGCAGCTCCACAAGAAAGTTGTGTTTGTTTCTAGAGCTCCCTCTGGTCAGGGGCCCTTCCTTCCAAACAGTGTCCAGGGAATCAGCCTGGATCAAGTTTGCAGAGGACAATCTGTGTGCAGTATGAGAGCAAAAAGGACCAGAAGCCGTAGTGTCACCTTTTTCAGGAGGAAGCTGGTCTCTGGGAAGGTACATAGCTGGGCCTGGGTGGAGAAAGCAGGCAGGAGTAGAGCACCAGAGACGTCAAGACTCTGACAGCAGGGTGACAGAATGAGCTGAAGGTGGAGTGACTGAAGGAGGAGTAGGAGATGGCTGAGCACCCAAGGCACCCGGCCAACGGGGGTTGAGCCCCATCAACTTCACTGGGAAATTTTAGGTCTGGTGTTTTGATCCTACCATTTGTGGTGCGTAAGGAGCCGCAGAATGGCTCGGCATCTGGGGATAGACTCTGGATATTCTGCTTTTTCTGCCAAGAAAGCCGTCTCAGTGCACTGCATGCTGCTATAACAGAATGCCACAAACTGAGTCATTTCTGAGCAATGAAAGTTTAGCTGACTCATGGCCTGGACTCTGGGAAGTCCCAGCTGAGGGCTTTCTTGCTGCATCACACGAGAGCCAAAGAGCACAGGTGTGAGAGGGAGAAGGGTGGAAATCCCCCTTTCCTCAGGAGCACTCCTGCGTAATGGCCCCCCACCGCCCATGATGGCATTAACACCCTCCCGAAGGCGGAATCCTAATCTAACCACCTCTTAGAGCTGCCTCTTCTCTGCACTGCTGCGCTGGGGCGAAAGTTTTTAGCACATGAATTTGGGGGCACACATTCAAACAATAGCACAAGCCGTTTTAGAGTCTAGGCACACTTGGAGCAGGAGGCCCAAGGAGAGAGGTATTCCGCCTGCCCCGCCTCCTGTGGTCCTGTGAGGCACCTGTCGGTAGGCGTCGAGTACGAAGGGACCAGTCAGGATGAAGACGGCACTCTGCCTGCAGCTGCCCTGGGACCAAGGAAAGCAGGTGAATCTGCCTCCTGCACCAGCCTGAGGGCCTGGTCCTGTGCATGGAAAGATAGAAATCATTCAAAGTAAGTGCTGGTTGATGGTTTTAATCACTGCACGATTTAACAGCATGGAAGCTATGCTTCTTGCCCATACCCCTTCCTGCCTAAGACGAGAAGGATAATATCCCTCACATGTAAAATCTAACCTTAAATAGAAATTGCAAAGACCCGTGTGATGTCAGAGGAGGCTATCATTCCAAACATCCAATATTCTAAGGTTCGTTTTCCCATCAATCACGAGGATAGTAATATCCAATTCCTTGGAGTCAGAGGCGACGTTAAATGTCAATGAAGTGTCAAGTCCCAGGCCAGAGAAGTCAGTTGCCCAAGAGGAGATCCACCCTGGGGACCTGGTCCCAGAATCAATCACGTGATGATGTAGCTGGTCTTCCCTTGGCAACACCGGGGGCGGGGGGCCAGACAGAGAAACTCACTCAGGGGCAGGGCAGCTTGAGCGGCCGTGGGCACAAGCAGCTAGAAGGCTGTGGGAAAGGTCTTCAGCTTTCTCAGGGGACTTCTAACCCCGAGAGTCGCTGGGTTTCGGAGCGCGGTGAGAGCTCTGCCAAGAGCAAGCGAGAGGTGTGACATCCCCGAGGGGAACTGCAGTGGCCGAGCGTGTTCCCACACCATACCCACCCCGGGGGGCTCCTGCCACTGAGGAAACAGGAGGAGGCCCAACAGCGAGGACAAGGGCCTGCACCTGAGAAAGGGACTGGGCACCAGCTCTGTGTCATAAAGGTCCACCAGCTCCCAAAAGTCCCTGCCTGCTCCTGCAGCAGGGCGCGGCTAACCTGAGGTGCCGGGTCCAGGACAGGCCTTGACATCTGCTCTGAGAAGGGTCATGCCTTTCCGCAGAAAACCAGCTAACACAGAACCCTAACCCCAGCTCCCCTCTACCCTGATGGCGTTCCCTGGGACTGAATATCTGTCACCTTCCTCCAGGCTCCAGTCTCCAGCAAGGAGACCTAACCTATGAACAGTCAGATTTGCAGAGAAGACAAGGGGAGAGGGGGTGCTGTGCCACAGGCTTCCTTCATAGCAAACCCCTGGGTGAAACGGAGCCCCTCCGCTGCGGGGAGGGCAGGGGCTGTGGGTAATGTGCTCTTGCCAGGTCCTGGGGTCAGAGACAAGTTTCCTCCTCTGTTAGGAGCGCACCTTCCCCAGACTCCCCTCCCTGCCTGCCCAGCGCTGTCCCTGTGCAGGAAGGGCGACTGTGGGTGGCCCTCGAGACTTAAGCCCTCCATCCTCACCCCCACGTAAAAACCCTTCCCTTCTCCCGCCACCAGCCTCATCAGTGTCACCAGAGCAAGATCTTCCCAGGATTCTGGGAGCTCACCTCTTCCCGATGGAGTCCACGGCTCAAGGGAAGAATGTTCTTGTATTATTCCCCCTCGATAGCCGAGTGACCGCAGTATTCTGGAGCTTTAGTTTTCCCGGGACACTCTCCAGCTGATCAAAAGCCAGAGGTAAGTTAAACGTTGGTAGAGCATCCACCACCACCGTCACCACCCCCCGCACCCCCCAACCCCCATCACGTCACGTAGCAGGTGCTTAATGAACTGGAAACGCAGGGATCGATGGTCTTGTAGCTTCCTCGTCCCCCTCCCCCTCACCACTAGCTCAGGGGCCAGAATTCCCAGCCCCCTCAACAGGGATCATCACTCTCTTTTCCTGAACTCCGTCTGGAGCCAGACTCGACTTCCATAGAACAATGGTACATCTGCATGTCATTACAGTCCAGCCCCTGGCCCCCGCCAGGCAGAACAGCGTGCCAGACCCAAATGACTTTCAGGGGAAAAGGACTCTGTCAAAAACTCCTTTGTACATTTAAAATGGAATTTGATTTCTGAAACCTGCAGTGCACAGGTCACTTTCAGGAACGAGTCTGTGGAATTTGAGAAGTGAGGTTCACGGGTTTACAAAGAAGTTCTCCACGGTGTCTGTCCCCGTGTGGAGGAATGGGGAGAGAAGCAAAGGTGACTCAAATTAACTGTCTCTTGTGCAAGGGACGGGGCTAAGCATTCCCCAACCATTATGTGATTTAATTTTTATAGCCATCCCCATAAAATGAGTTTTGTTATCTTTGGTTTACTATGAGAAAACTGAGCCTCCAAGAGGTCCAGCCACTTGCCTAGGGAATCAAAGCTGGTAAGGGGCAGAGCCAGACACACACCCAGGTCTGTCTCGCTAGCTAAGGTGGAAAATGCTTTATGAAGCATGTTCTTCAGTTGGCTTAAATACCATTCCTGGTGCTTTGGATCACTGGAGGCCAAAGCCCCGCTGTGGGCGGGAGTGAGAGAGCTAAGACACCCTTCATCACACAGCGGCTACGCAGGTACCCTGCTCTCGGGTTGCAGGAAGTCTGAAGGGCCAGTCTTTCCCGTCAAGGTTTAGGAAAGCCCCGCTCACCCCACAGGAAGTCTTTTGATTCTGCATTCACTGTCCTACAGAAGGCACTGAACCTACTGACTACCAAGTCACCCTCTGTCCTGGAGTTGTGTGCCTGGAGGATGATATGGAAAGAAGATGGCCCCTTCCGCTCAGAGGCGGACAGGCGACAGGTCTGATGGATGGGACCCGGGACTCCAGCTTTGAGCAGGCACTGTGACATGCTGGGAGCTCAAATTCCACACTTTAGAGCCCAGAAAATCATAGTGACCAGGCCTCTCTTCAAGGAGTCTGTGTGGTGGAAGGGATGCTTTAATGAGTTGCTTGGTGTAAGAGGACGATCGAGGCGTGTGACGAAGTCACGGTTGACAGGCCCGGAGGTGATCCACGGAAGTGAGCTTGGGAGGCCCCTTGTTTTGTGGGTGAGGACACACATTTGGCTCCAGAGCTGGATTTCCCAGGACAGGCTGAGCCCAGACACCCTGCGTCCACTCACTCATTCTCACCTGTGTTCCGAGGGGTTGCTGTGTGCCGTGTCCTGTTTGAGATGCAGGGAATAAATCAGAGAACAAAATGAGAAACAAAAAGACCTCAGCCATTATTTTTTCCTTTAATTTTGTTGTTGCTGTTGTTCTGGTTTTATTGAAGTCTCAGTCCTTCTGCCAAATGAGCTCACAAAGCACACGCAGAAATGACCTACCTTGAGAAAAAGAGAAATAAGGACACAAAAACCTGGAAGACTGGCACCTCCAAATAGTTAAGATAGTAAAATCACCTGGAATAGGCTAAAAAATAGGGTGCTAAAAAGATTGAATCGAAACCATTTAAGAAAAAAAAAGAACTGAATATTATGGGGGAAATTTTAGAATATCCATTTAAGGCTGGGAGTGTAGCCAAATGGTTAGAGCACTTGCCTATCAAGCATGAGACCCTGGGTGTGACCCTCAGCACCACAAAAAGAAAACGATCAGTCTGTTGTGCCAAATCGCTAACCTATCACGAATACCGAAGTACTGAACTGCCTTAAATGCCTACGTGTCTGAGTCTGTTCCCTCTAATAATTCTATGATTCCTTTCACATTAGAAAACAAGTATTCACCAACACCAAGGGCAGACTTTTGAAAAATATTTCATTAATATTTAAAAAAATTCTTGATCCTTAATCGACTGGGGACACTAAGAAACAAGGACATCAATTAAGTCACCCAAACCGTCCGTCAGAATGAAGGCTCAGCTGCGTAACAAGGCATCTCCAAAACGCAGATGTTTAAAGAAGTCCTCTCCCAGATGACAGTCAGCACGTCTCTCTGGTCACTCTGCTTGCCCAGGCCACTTAAGGCCCCAGGTTCCTTCCATCTTCTTCTCTTGCCATCCCTTGGTCTTTCTACTTAAGCTGCCTGGTCCAACCTGGGTCACAAAAGAGCCTTGTTTCACGTAGGGTCAGAGACCAGAGGGAATGGGACACAATCCTGTCGTTTCGAGGCCCAGCTCTAGAAATGGCCCACGTGGCTGCCACTATCATCCCTTGGCCCGACCTCAGGGACATGCCCTCATCAACTGCAGGGTACCTGGAAAGTGACAGTTTCTAGCTGAGTCATCATACCTCCAGCTATAATTCCATTGCTCTGAAAGAAGGGGGACATGTTGGGGCGTCATGTAGCCAGGCATCATAGCCGTAATTATAGCAAAGATTGGAAAGGGAATAGGTGGCTACGTTGTTTTGTTTTTTCATATTTTTCTTCAGCCCATCTGTCAATCACAACTATCTGTCAAGGTCCCGCTATCAGCTCACCATTGTGAGTAGAGGAAACAAAAACCAAAAAATGAGAGCTCAACCTAAATGGATAAGACGATTCGTATAATAATTGGAATATAATTTTTAAAAAGGTGCAGTGAAGCCAAGCGCAGCAACACGCACCTGGATCCAGGCAACGCAGAAGGCTGAAGCAGAAGGTGGAGGTCAGCCTCAGCAACTTAGTGAAACTCTGTCTCAGAATGAAAAATAAAAAGGTCTGGGATGTGGCTCATTGGTGACGAGCCCCTGGGCTCAATCCCAGCACCAAAAAGAAAGAAAATAAAAACCAAACAAATCACAACAATGCGATTAAGTGTGCGATTATGAAGACTCATTTCCAACCCCGGGCCTGTGTTTCCTTCTATGTCTTTCCAACACGACGCCTCCACATTGGACACATCTAACTTATACTTTTCTTAAAACTTGTTCCATGTGGCACCCCTGCATTCACTCCTGCCAGAGACCTGAATGTCCTCACTGACCCCTGTCCCCTTCCTGGCCCCTGTACTCAGACGGCCATCGACTCTGTGGTTCTGCTAGGAACAGCCGCTCCTCTGCCTTCATGCCTCTCTCCAGCTCAAGGGCTCATCATGGTTTTTGCAAGTGTTCTTACACAGATCTTTCCTTTTTCTTGTTTTAAAATTCACTTAAATTTTCAAATACATGGCTTTGGAATGCATTACAATACTTATTACACATATAGAGCACAATTTTTCATATCTTTGTATATAAAGTATGTTGACACCAATTCATGTCTTCATACATGTACTTTGGATAATGATGTCCATCGAATCATACCACTGTTGCTAACCACCTGCCCTCTCCCTTCCCCTTCCACTCCTCTGCCCTATCTAAAGTTCCTCTATTCCTCCCATGCTCCCCATCCCTACCCCACTATGAGTCAGACTCTATATCAGAGAAAACATTAAGCATTTGTTTTTTGGGGATTGGCTAATTTCACTTAGCATTATCTTCTCCAACTCCATCCATTTACCTGCAAATGCCATGATTTTATTCTCTTTTATTGCTGAGTAATATTCCATTGTGTAGATATACCACATTTATTTTAATCATTCATCTATTGAAGGGCATCTAGTTTGGCTCCACAGTTTAGCTGCTGTGAATTGAGCTGCTATAAACATTGATGTGGCTGTGTCCCTGTAGTATGTTGTTTTTAAGTCCTTTGGGTATAGATCAAGGAGAGGAATCGCTGGGTCAAAAGAGTTTCATTCTCTGATTATCCTCCATATTGTTTCCTCAGGGATCTTTCTAAACACAGATTTATCTGTCTACCCATCTACTTTGTATCAGGTGCTGTCCTAGGGATTTAGCAGTGAACAAAACAGAAAAAAAAAATGCCCTCATGGTGTGTGCACTTTATAGTTGAAGACCAAAGATGAGTGATACACGAAATAAGTGGGTGTGTCAGGAATCGTGTTGGGTGATTAACACCAAGGAGAAAAGCAAACAGAGGGACTCCAGCCTCTCCATCCAGCAGAATGTGCATCAAGTGTGCAGCCATGAAGTTCTGGACAAGAGAATGCCAAGAAGAGGGACGGCTGGATTGTAAAGATGTACAGTGGAGACTCTCGGCATGTCCAGGAGCAGAAAGGCCCGCAAGGCTGGGGAAAAGGAGGGAGACAGGTCAGGATGGAATCCGAGAGGGTGGTAGGGACTTTGGATGTTCCCTTTGAACCACATGAGAAGCCAGTGGAGAGTGACATGGAGTGTCAGAGTGGTGACATGATTGGACTTAAGTCTGTAAAGGCACCCTCTGCTGTTTTGGGAGTGGGCTGAGGGAGAGGCTGGAGGGAGGTGGAAGAAGACAGATCAGTCAGGAGGTTCTCACCACATCCCAGGCGAGGCCGACGGGGGTTTCTCTGAAGTCATAATGGCGGTGTCTCTAGCTACATCTGGAAAGAGCCAATAGGACTTGATGTGAGATACCTGAGCAAGAGAGAAGTCAAGGGTAACATCACATCGTGGCACTCTGAGCTCAGAAATGGAAAGATGGAGATGCCCTTAACTGAGACCGGAGACTGAGGGCGGGCCTGGGTAGACCAGGAGCTTGGTTTTAGAATAATGAGCTGAGGTGTCTCTCTGACCTCTAAGTGAGAATGGCAAGTGAGCAGGTGGTCGGATGAGCCTGGGGTTCGGGCTGGAGAGACGATCATCACCCAGAGGCTGCACAAGTGCCGTCTCCATTCCAGGCATTCTGCAAGTGTAACTCACTTAATCCTCGGAACGACACCACAAGCTAGTAGGAAGTATTGTCTTTTATTTCCCAGAGTGGGAAACTGAGGCACACAGAGCTTAAGTAACTTGCCTGAGGCCACAAAGGTAGTCTGTGGAAGTCACAATTTGAGTCTGGTCATGAAGACACCAGAAGTCATGCTTTGGGCCACTATGCTATTACATGCAATAACTTAGGAGTCTTCAGCATGTGAGCAGCATGTAGTTTTGAGTCCAGTTGAGATCACCAAGAGACAATAATAAAGAAAAGAAAGGGCTGAGGAATTTGCTTAAAAAGAATATGGTTTGGTTGGGACTGAAGATGTAGCTCAGTGGTAGAGAACTTGCCTATCATGCGTGAGGCCCTGGGCTCACTACCCAGCACCAAAAAAAAAAAGGTTGGCTTGGGACTGGAGGTGGAGCTCAGTGGTAAGAGCTTGTCCAGCGTGCATAAGGCCTTGGGTTTGATCCCAGTACTGCAAAATAATAATCGTAACATGGACGGATGGAAGGAAACAAGCAGGGACTTAGAGGAAATAAACTTGGCTCTGAGAAGACCAAGACTCGAGCAGGGTATTGGACACATAGAGTCTGTGTATGCTGATTTTTTGCATAATGAAAATTCATCACCAAAGGACATCACCAAAAAGTGACCATGAAGCCTGAAGAAAGCCAGGAGCATGGTACTCTGGCCGTCACGTGCTCTGATTGCTGCGTAACAAACCCCAACACTTCACGATGTTAAAAAACAACAATCATAAACAGTGTGGGGGTTCCTCATAAAGCTAAGCATAGAACTAGCATGCTCCTCAGCAATCCCAGTTCTGGGCATAATCCAGAGAAATTAAAATCTGTCTGTCGAAGCTGTATGTGCACTTCCACGTTCATGGCAATGTCCTTCACGAGAGCCAAGACAAGCCACCAACCTGAGCATCCATCAGCAGAGGAGTGAACAAAGAGGATATGATCCTATCCGTGACGGAATAGGATTCAGCCTCAATGACATTCTGACATTTGAAATAATCTGGATGAACGTGGAAGGCACATTAGGCCAAGTGAAATAAATCAGGTATGGAAAAACTGATCCTGCATTTCACTTACACCTGGAATCCAAAAAAAAGTTGAACTCCTAGCATTAGAGAGTAGAACGGCAATTAACAGAGGCCAGGTGGGCTGATATTGGTCAAAGGGTACGATTTCAATCAGGAGGAACACATCCTGAGACCTGCTGTGCAGATAGTGACAGGAGCTGGTAACAACACATTGCATACTTGAAAATTGCAAAGGGAGATTTTAAATAGTGACCCACAAAAAATTGGTACGAATCCGAGGTGATGGCTATGTTGATCTGCTTGATTTAATCAGTGCATAAGGTATGCACGTGTCGGAATATCACATTATAAGGAGCATCATAGTTGTCATTTGTCAACTAATATTTTTTAAAACACAGTTGTTTATCTTACTCAGAAATCTTTGATCTGGGCAGGGCTCCAAGGGACACCTCTGGGCCTGAGGACCTGTGCAGAGGGTGGCTCACTTGCAGGGCTGGCAGGTGGCTCACCTCGGCTGGTTGCTCCAGCAGTCCCATCTTTAGTCCCACCTTTATTGTTGGTCAGTCCCCAGATTAACTGAAGATAAGAAATGCAGATGAGAATGATCTGGAGTCTCCCGTGTGCTCACTCTCCACCGCCAACGACCCTTCAGAGAACCTGGAGAAAGCTCCTGATGCTCGGACGGCTTCCTTGGCACCGAAGACCAGAAGTGAGGAGATTATACGCAGGTCTCTGTGAGTGTCAGGGGAGCCCATGAACTTTACAGTAAGAGACATCAGCATTTTATGGATACCGTTTAGAAACAGCTCCTTCTAGGAACTCCCCCCTGTAAAATATTTTAAATAGCTGCCAGAAGATGGGGAGGAGGGTGAAAAGGTACGGATTCTTATGTGTCTGACAAAGACTAAATGCACAGCAGAAGCCATCTCCCCCTCCTCTTCTTATTCATGATTGGAAATTGTTCTGCTGCAGTGTTTCTAGAAGGCGGTCACCCAGTGTTCTCCGCTGCTGGCCGCTGCTGAAGCTGCTGGAGTCCACTGAGAGTTTCTGACACCAAGACCTGATTCCCCCATGCCTCGACTTCAAGTCAGGAAGAGGCCGAGGCGTCAGGGCTCTGCCTCCCCCTCGCCACCTGGCAAGTACCGCTGGGGCCGGGCAAGCTGTTCTGAACTCCCCCACGACGGGAGATGAGTGTGGTCATCCCACATGCCACCAAGCCGCACCGCCGGGCCCACTGGGCTCTGGCAGAGGAGCCGAGGAGGAGGCAACCGCAAACACACTTGAGGAGACACACAGGCCGACTTCACTTCCCCTCCCCAGCGCCACCCGCTGCGACTCAGCGCGTGTTTGGTCAGGGAGCCATATTTTTGCAAGTTGTATCTTGGCTCGTGTTTTATTATTTGAGGGCAGACTTGAACAGACCACTTGTCTCTGCGTGAAAGCTCTTGGGTGTCGTCTTGAACAGGACGAACCATCGCTGACAGCCATCGGACAAGAGTCAAAGTGTTTCTCACCCTCTCACAGGTGGAAGCGGCTCTCAGGACCAGGCCTCGGCCCATCTACCCTCTAACCACAGAGAAGGGGACTGCCGGAGCTGAGACCAACCTCTCCAGACACACCTCCAGTGACCGTGTCCTCCAACGAGGCCCATCCATACACACTATGAACCCATCACATAAGTGGATTAATCCACTCATGAGGTTTGAGCCCTCACGATCTAATACTCCTTAAAAGGCCCCTCTGGACACTGCTGCACTGGGGACCAAGCCTTCAAGTACATGAGCCTTTGGGGGACACTCCAGGGCCCCACCATGACAGCTCTCCCCGCCCGGCCCTGGTTTCTAGGAGATCCCCGTCTCCTGGTTTTCCAGCTTCTCATCTTCAGCTTCTCATCTTCAGCTTCTCACACCTCCTTGTCCTTTGGCCACTTCTCTCTTCCTTCCTCATGCTCCGTGGCCTCATTCTTGCTGATGGCCTTGACAGTCCCTCTGCCCCCTCTCTGTCCCCGTGGGCGTGGTAGGCAGAGTAATTAGAGTCACAGTGAATGTGGTGCAGCCTGGGCAGTTAAGGACAACGTGGTTTTAACCCTGATTATGGCAGAAGCCTTCTAGAACTTTCCTGATCCCTGACCTTCCCCCTTCTCGTAATCCTTCCAAGTAGGAATTCAGTCAGGCCACTCCCTGCTCTCCAGCTTCCAATGGCTCCAGTGGCCTGGGGATAAAATCGGAATTCATGGTTTAAAAGGCCTGACACCACCTGGCCCTTTCTACCTCCGCCCTTCCGGGTCCCCTCTGGCGTCAGTATCCCAGGTGACATGTGTTTGACATGTCTGCCGTGCAGTTTCTCATCGGTGTCTGACTCGCCCTTCCCTTGCCTCTTCTGAACCCGACTCCCTGTATCCTGCCAGATCATCTGACATTGCCCCTCCAGGAACATAAACCCCGTTGTCCAGGGGTGTGCCCCTGTGTGCTTCCTCGATCACAGCACAGTCCGATAATGAGTAGGACCGTCGGGCCATTTTCTAATGTCTGCGTCCCTCTTGCCTGTGTGCCTGTTGAGATAGGTGTTGATGGAAAGAGTGGACCACAGCTCAACCATGAATTGATACCTACGGGTTTCTTTTTCCAGTTCCAGCTTGCTTCACCCCTGAGGTTGCTCGTGGTCTAGCGAGGGAGACAGAAATGTAAGTAGACAATTCTCCAGGGGAGCCCTGGATCCCCTAGGCTCATCCAGGAACCCCACATTAGCAACCAATGACACCATGAAGAAACGGACACACAGACAGCGAAGATAAGGGAGTAGCGTTCCTGATAACATAGACTATCAGAGACTTGTCAAGATATGTGCTTCATAAACCAGGTCACTGAGGGAGGGCCACACCTGCCTTGGGCTGACAGTGACACGTGACACTGCACCTCTGGATAAAGTTCACCCGACCGGCTTTGAATCCACTTCATCAAGAGCATGTGAGGTGCTTGACACAGTCAGGGTGATCCTTTGGTGTCCTCTGCTCTACCAAATGCAGAATCTTTATTGTAAAATGAAATACCAAGTTGAGTGTGGTGGTGCACAGCAGCACCTCAGGAGGCTGAGGCAGGAGGACGGCAAGTTCAAGGTCAGCCTGGGCAACTTAATGAGACCCTGTCTCAAAGGAGAGAAAGGAAGGAAGGAAGGAAGGAGGGAAGGAAGGAAGGAAGGAAGGAAAGTCCGTCCAGCCAGGGATGTAGCTCAGTGTACTGTACTTTTCTAGCATGTGTGAGCCTCTGGGTTCCATTCCCAGTACCAAAAAGAAAAAAAGAAAAAAAAAATTAAATCTAGCTTCCCATTCTTCTGGACCTGTTCACTAAACCTCAGAGTCTCTCCTCCTGGGTCCTGTGTGGTCCACCGTCTTCCACAGACAGCTCCCAGCTGGCTCTCTCACCTCCCTTAGAGGCCCTTCACCTTCCCTCCGCCCGTATTCAGCAACAACTGCACAGGCCAGCTCCCGACGCGGCCCACGCACCACATCTTTCATCACACGCCTGATTTGCCATCACCCCCGCCTCTAACCTCCCCCTGGCCCCTAGGATTGGGCAACGTTCTCCTCCTTCTGCTTCAGCAGCTCCTGATCTGGCCTCCCCACCCCACGGCCTCACCCACACTCAACCTCTAGTTCACCCTGCAAAGGAATCGCCAGAATGCACGTTGACCTCACACCGTGACCTCTGTGGGTCGGCTTTCTGCACCCCATTTCTCTTTGCTCTGTTCACAGTCGCAGTCTTGAGCTCTTGTGAGCAGCAGGGCTCCTTATTCAGATGACACCCTAGTTAGTGCCCGCAGATAACGCACAGGACTCTGACTCGCGCTGCCTGACAAGGGTGTGAGGTCCACGCTCCCTTCACCTCTCCTTCCCATGGCCCTCAGGGATTCTGCAGAGCCCTGCAGTTGAAGACCACTGAGTGACAGCACATTCTACTAAAGCCCAAGGGGCAGGCTCCACGTCACTGAGCCAGGTTTTACCATAGGCCATGCAATATCCCAGGAAGCCGTGTGACTTGAGGGGTATGTGGACGGAGCCCGGAGAAAGACCACCTGGTCAGAGCCCACTCACCCATTCACCAGCTGAGGCTCACTGGGCAACATACCTCACTTCTCTGTGCCTGAGAGTGATCCTAATGGCTCCTCCCCCTTTGTGAAGATGGAGGGGAGGGCTTGGTGGAATGCTGCTGACCCAGCGGCTGGTAGATAAATGTCTGCCAATATTAACTTCCAAGAGAACCTGGGGACAAAGGTAAGTGACTCAGCCCAGCCTCCTAGGAACACGGAACACATCCCGTGGTCAGCAAAGTCCTCCTTGAACCTGAAGCACACAGACAGTCCCCTCGCAAACTGCTAGCTATGTTTGCAGACGTGACAGCCCCGTGCTGGGTTCATCCAGCGGTGTGACTGGCTCCACAAAGGAGTGTACTTCCTGAGGTTTGCTACAGATTTAGGTCAAGTGAAAGATGATACACAGTGGGAACGGACTGGAGCGTCTGATTAGTCTTGTAAATCTGAGGTTAATTGGAAGTTGAGCATTGCAATTCTAGGAAATAGGTTACTAGGCATGTTTGTATATTTCTGAATCTGTCCCCTGTTTATAGCTACAAACATATGCCATTAATTTACGATTTTCTTTCTACAAGCTTCATCAGGGTAAACACAAAGAGATTAGTCATTAAACCCAGAAGGAATCTGAGAGCAGGACATAAAATTTGAAGAAGGTTATATACTGGGGGGGAGGGGGGGAATGATGTAAGAAGTAAAAGCAACAGAAAATTAGCTGCTAAATCTTGGGATAATGCATTTTTACAGGTTGTTCTTAACAGTACTTGCCATATTGCACTTTAATCTGTGATCCTCCAAGCTAAACTAAGCGGGTCCCCAGGGAGCGGGGGAAAGGCCTTTCTGGGAGTGTAAGTAGGTCTTTCCAACAGCAAAACAAAGCCAAGTCTTTCTTGCCTGAGTTTGTATTATCTTTATCACCTTTTGCGCCCCAACCCTACAGGGGGTGTAGACTGCAGATGCTGACTCTGGTGCCTGTCTATTTGCCCCGACCAAAATGTGGAATGAGATTGGAACTCTGATTCTTTGGGCTCAGTCCCAGCCACTCTTGCTAGCCAGTGAGGAAGTTTGGGAAGAGCGACTTCCTCCTCCTGTCCCTGGGTCGAGGGGAGGAACTGGTGCTCACAGTCACAATCTCTCGTCCTCTAGGCCAGAATCCAAGAAGCCCTGCAATCTAGAGCTTCTCATATATCTGGCACAAAAACGCCTTTGGTTGCAAAACTGGGCCTTTCTGACATGAAGCTCTGCATGGTCTCGGTCGACCTGGGTCGGGGCGGCGACGTGTGCACTTTGTGGTAGAAATGTGAATCATGGGGTGCCGAGCCAGACTCCACGAGAAACGTCGCAAGTGCAATATGAACCAGTTGATCTTTTAAAATCTGATGCCCCCACCTGGCTGGCCCCAGGGGCTCAGGGAGAGGGGGGTGGGCGCTGTCCTCAGGGCTCTGAGGTGAGAAGAGGTCTGCACAGGAAGGACACCACTGGGCTCGTGAAGAAAGCAGACTGCACATCTAGAAGGTGGCGCCATCCGATGGAGGGGAGCCCGGGGGCTGTCAGGGTTGTCAATCCCGCGTGACCGACCGCCCGCCCATCGCCGTCCGCCCAGCACAGAACAGAGGATCTCGCCCGGCTGCCCTCCGGGAGCCCTCCCTCAGCCCCACCCAGGCCGCCTCACCAGGATCGCGCTTCATCTTCACTCCTTCACCATCTCTCTAAACAATTCCTCTTCTACTTCCTCACATTCCACACCTAAAGTTCATGGGTAGTGATGTTACGTCTAAGGTTCCCGAAAAGAGTCAGCTTCTTCCTGATTCTGCTCTTTGTTCTGGATTCAGGTTCCCCGGGTTCAAACCACGCTCCACCACTTCCTGGCTGTGTGCCCAGAGATGATCATTTCACCTTCTGGTGCCTCCGTTTCCTCGTCCATAAAATAACCACCCCACAGTTATGAGAGGGTCCAGTGAGCCAATATTATGGGAATTACTTAGAACGGCACCAGGGCAATCACGGGTGCCCCTCAAACATAAGACATTGTCTCTGCATCTCCACGACTGTCTTCTAGATGAGCTCCACACGCTAGGAAGTGTTTTCCTTATAGAAATATAAATTTCCATATAAAAAAACTAAGAAAAAAATACAATGAAAAGAGGGTAATGAAACATTTGATATATAAACTCCAAAACAAAACCGTCAGACAGGAACACGTCTTTGAGACGGCCCTTGGTATGAGATGCTCATTTTTATTTTCAGATCACCTATGAACACTAACGTAAATCACATGGTCCCGCTTCTTCACTAATTTAAGTCTGCATTAAATTGTAGTCAATCACTTAAGGATTACAATGACAAAAGACATTTTCCCAAAGACGATCCTTCCCTGAAATCCCACACACTGCTCCATCATATTTACTGTACAAGACAAGGTCCCCACAACCTTCCCAAGCCCTCAAGCGCCACACCTGTCCGAACCGGCTTGGCTGGTTATTTCCACCAGTATCTTCCTAGCCTTCGGGGCCTGTCAGTGCCTAGACCTGATCCCATGGTCGTCCTGGGGGAACTAAGATCCCTAGACACTCACCCACTTTCTCACCTCCTACTCTGACAGTGGAATTAACATTGGGGCTGATTTGATTTGTCCCCCCCCCCATCCCGGGTCCTAAGTGGATCAACCTGTGTCTGTCTCAGTCTTCTTTTCCTCCACCCTACTTTAGTCTCAAAAAAAAAAAAAGAAGCTATTCAGCAAAAAAAGAAGGTCCAACTTAAAAAAAAAATCCCACTTAAATGTGGGTTTAAAGTCAAAGAGACTTGAGATTGAAAAACTGCCAGTTCTTACTGCTCCCTTACTCACAGGAGGGTTTACAGCTCCTGAAATCCTGCCAGGGCTCTGAAAATGAAAGCTTGCAGTTAGAAAATGATGGCTCACGACAGCAAGGATCAGTCATGTGACGGGCAGAGCGGTTTCCGTCAGCGCGTCCTGCACCAGACAGCTCGGAAACGGAGGTTCATCAGTCAGACAGCGTCCACGGAGGCCGAGGGCAGCAGAATCCAGCTGCGGCAATTAATCATTTAATTGCTTTCTGATTCACTTTAAATGTCTTTTAAAAAGATATTAAAGGAAAACATTATTGAAAGGACATTTTAGGCTATTTAATAAAGATCCAATAGACCCTTTGTGAACCAGAAAAATAAATGGATCTCTAGCCCAATCCTATTCGATGTTTTCTTGGGCAACACTTACTTATTCAGAGAAAGAGTGGCAGTCTCTGCTCCTGGCAGGAGAAATAGCGCATAAAATAGTGCTTAGGAAAGAAAGCATGCGTGCGATTAAAAATAGGGGTTTTGTCTGTCTGTCTAGGTCTGGGGCTCAAGAGTAGGGTGTTGGGGGGGTTGGGGGAGTGGCAGGGAAAGCAAAGTGGCCTTGAAGGTCGAGAGAGAGCTGTCTGCCTTGGGTTGTGACTAGCCTGTCACCTCGTTATCTGCTGTGACCTTGGGCACATTATGTACCTTTGGGGGCCTTCCAAGCTGCACAATGGAAGTAATAATACCATTTCCAGTGTTACTGCAAACATTAGAAAGAGCCTATGAAACGAGCAACCCCGGAGCCTGGCACAGAAAAGGCAGCTGTTACTACCCCTGTGCCCTGGAGAGAGGTCCACAGGGAGGAGAAGGGCAGAGGGAGACCGGAGGGGTCCAGGCGAGATGTGGGGGCCCTGCACTGGGCAGAGCACAGCACGGAGAGCAGCAAAGAGAAGCCTGATGGAATGCCAAGGACGCTCGGCTGATCCAAGAAACCGAGGCTCAGAAAGATGATCTGGCCCAAGGCAAGGGAGGAGGCGAAGCCCAGAGAGTCCAAGAAACGGTCGAAATGGGTATGGCTCAAGACGCAGAGCCCAGACCTCCACGGGGAGCCAAGGCCAGAGAACACCACGCTGAGCGTGGACCTCTGGGAGGGTCGCAGAATGGACCAGTCCGTGTTTTGTTGTGCAGTGACACGTCTCGATTGCAGTAAGAAGAGCTGAGACAACTTCCCTGGACAACTTTCCAATCCACAGCCCAGGTGACAGGGGTTGCCACACCGCCCAGCCCGGACACCAGGCAGTGTCCTCCTCCAAGTTCACCTGTTCACATCCCTGGACGCTGGCCACCAACCTCAGTCCTTGCTCACCCACGGCCTTCTCAGCACAGGCACCTGCTGATGCTGTCCTCAGGCCGCTTCGGCCCTGCCCACAAGACTCTGTTTGCAGATAACAAGTAGAGAACTACCTGGTGCTTCCAAACAGCAGGGCAGCAGCCAGTAACTCAACACCTCTGACGTTTTCATTAGGTGCTGTCTTAGAGGATTCCTTGGCAAGCAGCCTTAATAATCCTGCACCGATCTGCTCCAAGGGGATTAATGTCACCTAGGCACCGGGGCCTCCTCCCCTCACCCAGCATCCATGTCTCCATCGTCATCTGGGTGGGTTTCAGCTGGGTCAGCTCCACGTAATTCACAAAGGAGTCAACCTGCAGATCCATCCCGCCTCCGCGTGCCCGCCGCGTGCACAGGGGAGACTTCAGAGCGTATATAAATGGACTTTAATATTGCAGCCTACCTTTTGGGACGTATGTCTAATTTGCTAGAACATGCAGAAGAGCTGACGAGCCACTTTGCACCTTCCTGGAGGCCCCTGCTCTACGAAGCACAGCAGCACGCTCTCTTTCTCTCTCTCCCCCTCCTGCACTCCCCACGGAAACTCTCTGGGGCTTGCGCTCCAGCCCTTGTAAGAGGACTAGGAGGGATTTTTGCTTTTCTTCCACTAGAATTGATATTTTTCTCTGAAAACAGGCTAAGGTTTGCCAGTATTATTCATTGCAGGTGAGTTTGCTGACTGATCTCCACTTAGTGCCCTGGCACTTCCTGTATACCTGGCCAGCTTCAAGGAACAAAACTAAAAACGTAGTGTTTTGCAGGCATTAAACATGCCTGATGTAAATTTTCAAATGACTTATACTTTACAAAGAGAAGTAGGATCTGGGGAGGTGATGACCGCCTAGCGCAAAGGTGGTTTAGAAGTCAACTCTCCGTAGGTGGCGAGTTGTTCCTTCTAGGTGCTCTCAGTATTCTTCATCAGGGACAGTAGGGTGCAAGTCTTTCTCTTTATGCAGTTTGCACTTGGCTCAGACAAGTAGGCAGTGATATCCATGGTGGTCTTCTTTTTTATATTAATGATTAAAAATCTGATTTTTATTGGCACTATTTTTCCTTTGCCACCGGTGTATCAGAGAAGGTGTTGCTATTACTCCCACTTAACAGAGAAGAATCAGCTTCAGAGAGTGTAATGGGGCTCTCCAGAGAATCAGGATGAAAACAGAACTGAACAGATAGGGCATTTACCAGGGGGTCTGGCTGTGTGCTGATGGAGGCTGAGGAGCCCTGATCTGCCGTCAGCAAGCTGGAGGACCAGGACAGCCAGGGGCAGGGCTCAGTCCAAGCCAAGAGCCCTCCGAACCAGAGAACCCCCCAGTCCCAGCCCAAGGACCTGAGGACCAGGGGGTCGTTGGAGCCAGT